GGCAGGTAGGTATGAAGAATTCTCTAAGAAATGCAATTTAATAACATAAATGCTGAAGAAATATGACATTATTGTATTCACTGGACCTTATTTTTTATTCACTAATATAAAGGAGCTGTAATGAAGAGGAATGGATGTATATCATTGGGATCATGGGGTTTTTATTGGTTCACTGTGAGGGAGAAAAGGCTCCGTTACAGTAACCTAGCCCCTATCTCTGTTTATTGGTCAGTGTGTTGAAACAATACTTCTCTCTCCCCTCTAGAATATTCTAATCTATATGAATTGAGATATATTTCCATAACTCAGGTTGATGCTGATGGGAATTACCTGTGCAAACCTTATATACCAAACAGATTTTCTAAACCTAAAGACGATGATAATGACATGGAAAGGACTCCCCATTCTGTATTTGAAGACAAGTTATTAATACAATCATAGAAATTAAGGGCTAGAAGGGACATCAAAAGATTATTCTGTCCAACGCCCCTGGCTTAATAATGAAAGGCTGGTTTATATTTGTCACAATATATGGAAAATATTTCTCTTGTAAATAAATTTGAAACCATATTTAAAGTCTGAGCCAATATTACTGCGGTCATTCAAACTTTTCTTTTAGCTTCAAACGACATTGGTTCAACCCTTGATGAATTCCTTTAGTTAAATAAAAAACTCCACAAGCTGTTGCATAATTTGGGTATTGAAATCTACTTTGGGATTATATTTTCAAAATATATTATGTAGCTAATGTGTTGCTGACTCCTTAAATTATCACCTCTATAATATCTTCAGAGGAGAAAATCCAGTATATTTGCACTTGAACCCCAAATTTGAGAATGTTTGGGGAAATCAAAATCCATACTGGACATCAAACTGAAAACTGATTTGAAGGAGCTGCACTATGGATAACAGCATACTTTTTAAAGTTGAACAGTCTTAAACATTGTCTTTTTTCCACTATGCTTTCAACCCTTTAACACAAGAGAAGGTTGCGTTCTTCTATAAAAGAGCTTCTTCAAGCTCTTGAAAGAAAGGTTCAGTACAACTTAAGAGTACAAACTTATTGGAGATAGGCAAGCCAATATTGTACTCTATTTATCTAATGTTTCTCTGGAGTATTTTCAGATCCACAGAAATACACTTCAAACAAACTAATGAAAGGATTAATAGATATACAAAGTTGATATATACATGGTAACTTTTTTTACCTCATGAGAATTAATTTTATGTATTTTCTTTCTTTTTCTTTCTCTTTAGCCAAAGATGGGGATTACTGGAGATTGCTTGTGCCTGGAAATTACAAACTCACAGCCTCAGCACCAGGCTATCTTGCAATAACTAAAAAAGTGGCCGTTCCCTTTAGCCCTGCCATTGGGGTAAGCATTCATTTATTGGTTGGGTGGTCTTATTTATAACATACTCGATTATTCTTTCTTCAGACTCTATGGTCATCTACGTAAGAGCAGCAAAGCTGCTCTGACGCACTGTAATTACAGTGTGTTGAAGCAGATTCAATTAATCGAGTCTGCTGCAGCATGGTATTTACCCTGCTCTAGCAGGCGCCAGTGTCTTGTGTATCAGTGTTCCTGCATTGAAAAATGGTGACGGGGCACTTTAACTAAAAGCTCATTCGACCAACTTTAGTTAAAGTGCCCCAGCCACCATTTTTAAGTGCAGCGATGCTGATACACAAGTTGCTTTGTATGCTTTAATTAGAGTGGCTCTTGGAGCCTCTCTAATTAAAGTGCCTCCCCAACTCCTCGAGCACATGTATAAATGCCCTATATATGTATATTTCTAAATGTTGCATAAAACTATCAAGTCTAACTTTAAAAAAAAGCCTAACTGTTATTTGTTCTTACTCTATATACAGTAAATTTATTTCAGCCTTTCTAATTTAGAAAAATAGACTATTCAGAACAAGCACTCTTACTGGTATTTTTCAGTACTCATTGGTTGTAACCAAGCAAAAACAGCCTCATTTGAAAATCTGTTTTCTTTCACTACTGGTTTTGTTTGAAATCTGGAGGTACTGAGCTTGGTAAGAAAGAAAATACATGTACTCAAGTGCCTGTTTGGATAAGATTGTTGAATCTCTTTCCAAGAATGAAGAGCATGTGAATGAAAAACAGTTAAAATTTTGATTTTGAACCAGTGCTGGGTTTTAGCTATTATAACTCAGATAAGAGACTGTGGAGTTATTGTAGATAGTTTTCTAAAAGTGTGAGCTCAATGTACAACAGCCACCAGAAAAGCCAATAAAATGTTGGGCATAAGTAAGTAGGAAATTGAAAACCAAAAAGGAGAACATCATCATGCCATTATACAAATCCATCATGCACCTACATCTGGAGTGTTGTGTATAGTTCTGGTTCCCACATATCAAAAGGATGTAGTAGAATTAGAAAAGGTACAGAGAAAGGTGACCAAAATGATCAAGGGCCTGCAGCACTTGCCATATCAGGAAAGACTAAAAAGGCTAGGCCTTTTTAGTTTGGAGTGGAGAAGGCTGAGGGGAGATATGATGGAAGTCTATAAAATCATAAAGGGTATGGAACAACTGAATGGTGAACTATTGTTCACCAAATCTAGGAACTAAGGGGCACCCACTAAAATCAGGTTATGGGCTTAAAACTAACAGGAGAAAGTGGGGGTTTTTTATGCATTGTGTAGTTAACTTTTGGAATTCATTACCACAGCGGTGGGGGGAGGCAGATAGCATAGCCAGGTTTCAAAAAGGACTGGATAAATACATGGATGATAGCCCTGTTAATAGCTACTGAACAAAATGGTTGGAAATGTTTCCTCTGACATCTTTAACCCAATAAATGATGGATGCCAGAGAGGGTATTGAATAGGGGTTAGATTATCCTAGATGCTCTTCCTTGGTGTGCATTTACATGTGTGCTTTACTGCAGAGTTGACTAATTAGCTCCTTAGTAAAGCATCACAGTCTACACGTGTGCTGGTATTAGGGCACAGAAAACTAATTAACTCGACCACAGGATGGTACTATCTCTGACAGTACTGTCCTTCGACAAAGTAATAAACTGCACTGAAATGCACATCTAGAGAATGACTGTGTGGGGGCCAGACTTCTGGCTGCCGCCTAGCCACATAGCTCTGCATGTTCAGCACTCTCATGCCCCAGCCAGCCCTGTTGCTGCCACCTGAAGCCAGGGGCTGACCCCCTGAGGGTACTGTCAGTCCAGGCCAGCTCTGCCCTGACTCAAAGTGCTGCTGTCTTGGGTGCACATGTAGACACTATTCCCAAAAGTAGCTTACTCCAGCTCAAAGTGCTCTGGAGTTTATCATGTCACATTAAGTCCATGCGTAGATGCAGTCCCTGTATAATAGCATCCACTTATGTCACTGTCCCAGGATACTGGCTAGATGGACCAGTGGTTTGACCCAGATGGCATTTCAATAAGAACATAAGGGCACATCTACACATGATATTACATTGCTGTAGCAATGCACTACAGTGACCTAACGTCTGCCGGTGTCTACACGTGACCAACAGTTACTTTGCTGTGCCACTACAAATAACTGTGCCCTGTGCAAAAGGAAGTACTAAATCATGACACAGTAACAACATTGCCATAGTGACATGGGTAAACACGTCCATAGACTTCTAATCTAAATTAGACATCAACTATTCAGTTAGAGTGTAGATTTACCTATACCTTTATGAAAAAGGCCAGGACAAGAACTCTAGTAGAACTCCATATAGGACTTAGATGGTATTTCAGTGTATCAGTCTTCTTTTGACCTTCTGCACCCTTAAAAGGAAGAATAATACCAATTCATCCCTTGCAAGTGGGACTCCTGCCCCACTTCAGAATTATTTCTGGATGATTAAAACAGCACTCAGTTAACTGCTGATACATTTACTAGGTTGTCCTATAAAACATAATATCTAGCATCAGTTGTCTTACGTCAGAAAACTCAGTAAACCACACTGGTGGTAAAATGTAGCACACATTTTGCTTTGCCATGCAGTGAACCACAGTCAAAATTTTGATCTAGTGGTTTTATTCTATGCATAGGTGAGTAGTGGAGACAGTCACAATGGTAATACATTTCCTTACCTACTGTTGAATTTCCAGTTACCTAGGGCCAGATTTTGAAATATATTTGGATCAGTACTCAGACAAATATCTTATTCCCAATGACACTTTTGAAAATGCCATTAGATACTTAACTGCAATGTTGGGTGTCATAATTCTGTTTAAAAATCTGACTCCTAATTCTTGAGGGTCTTTGCAAACCTCAGACGAATATGAGAATACATCCTCTATTATTTCTTTCTTTTTGCTCTTAATGGATTCAGTTCCCCCACTGAGAATACATCCTCTCAGATCCAAGTAATTACTTAATAATGCCTTTCAGGAAGTTTGAGAGTCTCTTTCCTGGTGTGCATTCACAGATGCATATATTTTAAAAAAATCATTCATTCATTGTTTCTCTTACCTAGGTTGATTTTGAATTGGAATCATTGTCTGAGAGAAAAGAAGAAGAAAAAGAAGAGTTGATGGAGTGGTGGAAGATGATGTCAGAAACCTTAAATTTTTAAATGAAGCTTTGAAATTACACCTTTTAATCTATGACATGTTGACTTAGTATACTGTACTGTGGACAGTCCCTATACTTTAGATTTTGTGCAATTCACAATACTTAGAGGTTTTTCAGCAGTCTTTGGATTAATAACCTGATTTTAAAAAAACAACAAACAGTTAGGCTACTAGTTAGACAAATAAGTTATTAATTTTCTTTCATATTATTATAGAAAATTCACTTTCCTACATCTATGATGCAGAAAAAATGAGGGAGCACCTCAGCAGCCTAAATGGAAATAAAATTTTCTGTTTGCCATTTACAAATTCAGAGTGTGTAGGTTAACTCTTGATTATAAAAAAAATATATTTTAAGTTCCAAATATCGCCAAAAATATTTGGTAGTACTTATAAGGAAATGACCATTCTGTATTGAATTAGCTAATGAATGTCATTGAAAAAGGATATTATAACAGTTTGGTGTTGTAAGTAATGTTCGACAAGAAGTAAACTAGAATATAAAATGTTGTATGTCTCTGCTGTTGGAGCTATATAAGTGTATAAAAAAGTATGTATATGGTTTTATGTTAGTAAGTGGAAAAAACTTGTTTAAGAGGATCTAAGATTAATCACAGGGAATGATACAAGTTTATTCCTTCATCTGTTAATGATCCTGAAGCACAGAATTTGGGATGTTTTGGACACTTATTAACCAAATTAAAAATTATGAATGGACAAAGAAGAACTGTTGAAACATGTGCATTTTGTTAACATGCTTCTTGTGTTTGCGGTGTGTTTCAGTGAGAAAAATGTTCAGTGTTTCAGGTGATGTGCGTGCTGACTAGGTGCCTACTTATGGAAGAATGTCTAAAGAGTTCATTGTGAATAGGATAAGCGGTAACAATCTCAAACACTCATTGAAAGATAGCTGAACTTTCAGCTGGAAATGAGTTGGAAATATGCTGAGAATGTAAACACAATCTATTTATACACTCTCTCCAGGCAGGAATTAATTGTCTTTTAAACTCTTGTTTCTTCTACTGTTGTTTTAACCTGAACCTTGGAGTTACAGAGGTAAGTAATTGACATGCTAAAATTTTCTAAGCTAATATACATATGCATATATGTATAGTTTCTTTTTTGAAAATTTAGTTGTTCAGTTTTTTAAACTAAAGCATTTTGTTTGATTATTTGGACCTGGAAGAATGAAATGCCAGAAATGACAATATCCATATAGACTACCTTAACCATAGATGATATAATTTTGACATAAATACACAGAAATCAAGGGAGCTATGCTTGTTTAGTTTATACCAGTTGAGGATCTGTCTGAAAATATAAACTTTTTTTGCTGTGTGTCAATTGGTTCGTGAATAGGTGTTTGAGATCTTTTTCTATAAGCAACAGTATGTAAGAACTAGAATATTTTATATCTTTTCTCAAAGATTTCTCTAGTGTTATTGGCCCTCATCAGGGGTATCAAACGGATGAATGGCATGAGGCTGGTCCACAGGTCCTGGACCACCTAGAGCAGGCACCCTCTTCAGCATTCCCTGTGTGAGTCTGATTGAAGTCAAGGGCAGCACTGGGGGCCAGATAATAAAGCTCTGCAGGCCAGATCCAGCCCTCAGGCTGTGTGTTTGATACCTCTGGCCTATATTCAGTCAACAGAAGGTCGTTGGAACTCAGCAACTCCAGATCAGGCCATCATGCCTAATTTTGTACATAATTAAGTCAATTAAAGTCTGCTTTGGATGCTTGAAACTAAGAAATCCTATCCTTAGACTTTTTGCAGTTCTGAAAACAAATGTGGCCTTTGACCTTCTAAAATGCCCAAGGGACTGAAGTGAGAAGTAATAAAAATGAATAGTCCTGAATAAAAATTTACTCCATAACATGCAGATCAATGTTGCAGTTGATACTATATTTCAAATGCTATGGGAACACTTCTGGATATTAGTTGCAATGATTTGTTAAATGCTGGTATGTTTAGTACCTATTTCATAGTTAGGGGTTTACTCAACTTGAGGCAGCAGCAGGCCAATTTTTGCAGGGCTGTCCGCCATTTTCGAGGGCTTATTGTGGCAGGACCCCCCCATACCTCTGATTGGTGGAGGGGCCCCAGTGGCCCTGCCCCCTGCTGCTGATTGGTGGAGAGGGCTGTCCTTCATATGACTGTGCTCCTCACCACTGATTGGCTGAGATGGCCTCTGTCATGAGACCCTGCCCCTTGCCACTGATTGGTGGAGAAAGGGGTAGGGCTGCATGGCAGGCAGCCCTCTCAGCCAATCAGTGGCTAGAGGCAGAAGCAGTAGCCATCTTGCCTGCTTTCCTTCATGCTGGCAGTACCTTTTATGCCAGGCTGTGTGTCCAGGAGGATTGCTGGCTGCCAGTAGGGAGCCAGCATTTTATTTTTAGTAAGGTTCCCCCACTCTCCCCCCCCCCC